TGTGGCTGAAACCCGAGCCGCGGTTATGAAATGGTTCTGGGTTTAAGTGAGTGCGAGCCGTGTGCGTCGGCGTGTGCGTCGGCGTGTGCGTCGGCGTGTGCGTCGCCGAGTGCGTCGGCGTGTGCGTCCATAATTGATGGGTTTTAGATTCGATAATGGATGATGTAATGGGCACGGATTGGGTTCGGACATACTTTTTCTCGAAGGGATATTAAGTCTGGATTATGAATTGTCTGAATCTTTTACCATTTTATTACCACTTTAGAATCCTCTCAGAAAATTCTAACTTTACAAGGTTCAATGTTATGTTTTTGCTGAAATGTTTTTCTATAAGATCAGAGATTCTTTATCCGTCCCAAGTATTTAAACTCTGGGATCAAAACAAATGAGACAAATGGACCATCTTGGCGGCCATCTTGGATTCACTTTTATATTCTATCTTGCCAATTCTCATTTCTTCAATTCTGTTTGATGTTTTGTACACAATTATTGGCTTGACTTTATGTATTTTTGTCGGGATTGCTGTTTTAATAGTTTCAGTTAAGGTTACAGGTTTATCGGAGAATTTTCCCAAATGTTAGGAATGATTGACAGTTGGAAGGACCAATAGTCTTGATGATCAGATTCAGATTAGATTTATTCAGACATTTTAACATTCATCACATGTAAATGGATAAGGTAAAAACATTATCTCTGAAACGGAAAAGGCAGAAGCTAAAACGTACTGCGCCTATCTCTATTTACAAAACCAGAAAAGCTTTAAATCAATAACTTGCCGCCATTTAAAAAAAACATAACTTTATTTAACAATTTACCAACAAAACAGTCAAAGTCGAAGCCCAATCTCTGCTCCGGCCTCTCGTGCGAATGACTGACAGCTCACCCGACCGTGAACCTAGTCTCATTCTGCATTAGCCACAATCTCCTTACAGCGCCGCACTTTCTCCATACAGGCCCCAATACAAATGTTTATTTTGAGTTAAGAATTGTTCAAAAATATTGCTTTTATAATGGTCACTGTAGCAGCAGAAATGGGATCAGTGATAAAAATACATTGACACGCACAGACACGCACAGACACACACAGACACACAGACACAGACACACACACACACACACACAGACACACACACACACAGACACAGACAGGCACACACAGACACACACACACACACACAGGGACACACACACACACAGACACAGACAGGCACACACAGACACACACACACACACACACAGACACACACACACACACACAGAGACACACACACACACACAGAGACACACACACACACAGAGACACACACACACACACAGAGACACACAGACACACAGACACAGACAGGCACACACAGACACACACACACACACAGAGACACACAGACACAAAACTCTTCAAAGCATTATCAAACAAAAAAGCAGACACTAGTTTTAGAACCATGCACTTGACGCCACTGTTTGAGCAGTAATATTCTGATTATTCTGATTCTGAAATATGTCGGAAGAGGACTCCAACAAATCTATCTTTAAGGGTCTCTCAGCTTCGTACAACTTTAACAAACTTGACTTAAATGTGTTTGTTCCGTTCTAATCTGTAGCGACAGGTCTAACTCGACCATAGTGTTGACGACAGGTCTTATGTACCTGTCTGAGGTCTCAGCGTCTCCCTCTCTCTCACTCTCCTCCCCCCTCTCTCTCTCCCTCTCTCTCTCCCCCTCTCTCTCCCCCCCCCCTCTCTCTCTCTCTCCTCCCCCCTCTCTCTCCCCCCTCTCTTGCTCTCCTCCCCCCTCTCTCTCCCCTCTCTCGCTCTCCTCCCCTCTCTCTCCCCCCTCTTTCTCTCCTCCCCTCTCTCCCCTCTCTTGCTCTCCTCCCCTCTCTCTCTCTCTCCCCTCCTCCCCCTCTCTCTCTCCCCTCTCTCTTGCTCTCCTCCCCTCTCTCTCTCCCCCCCCTCTTGCTCTCCTCCCCTCTCTCTCTCCCCCCTTTCTTGCTCTCCTCCCCTCTTCCCCCCTCCCCTCTCTCTCTCGCCCTCCTCCCCTCCCTCTCTCTCTCGCCCTCCTCCCCTCCCTCTCTCCCCTCCCTCCCCTCCCTCCCTCTCTCTCCTCCCCTCCCTCCGCCCTCCTCCCCTCCCTCTCTCGCCCTCCTCCCCTCCCTCTCCCTCCCTCCCCTCCCCTCCCTCTCTCTCCTCCCCTCCCTCCGCCCTCCTCCCCTCCCTCTCTCTCCTCCCCTCCCTCCCCCCTCCCTCCCCTCCTCCCCTCCCTCCGCCCTCCTCCCCTCCCTCTCTCTCCTCCCCTCCCTCCCCCCTCCCTCCCCTCCTCCCCTCCCTGTCTGAGGCCAAAGTCGTGATGTGTTGAGCTGCAGTGGACCTGTGCGAATGCTGCTGTCTGCGTATCACATGGACCCGATGGCACCGTTATTCCACCGTTTCTTTCCAAAAATGCAAGATTTCGAGAAAGGACAAATCTTGCTGAATGTGAAGATGTGACGGCTCGACATGATCTTTACTTTTCATTCTGTTTCTCCAAAAAAAAAAACCTTGTCTTGAAGGTCAAACATATAGAGACTGGAGAGAAACTGCTGCTGTAACTTCTGCTACTTCCTGATTAAAAATGTGGTTTTATACAGTTATTATCCGTAGTTTACAAAAGGACTTTGAAAGATTAAAAATGTGGTTTTCTACAGTTATTATCCGTAGTTTACAAAAGGACTTTGAAAGATTAAAAATGTGGTTTTCTACAGTTATTATCCGTAGTTTACAACAGGACTTTGAAAGATTAAAATACCTGCTACTCTGCGTTCCAAACACCACAGGGTAATGTTATCACCAGTGTCTGTCTGTCTGTTAGTTCTAGCATATTGGTGGATTTTCACGCACTTTTTTGCCCCTTCTCGGGAGAGGTCTGTGCTCTACGAGTGCTTTGCTAGTTTTTGTCCAACTTCGTCTTGTTCTGGTGGAGCTAATTCTGTTCTAGAAAAGTCTATAGATTTGTACAATATGTTGAAATTTGCAGAAAGTGAAGCGGCGTTATTTAACTTAAGACATCACGAAACAGAGATTGATCAGTTTTCTACATTTTTTGACATTTAAATGATTTATTCCACTAAATAAAAGCATTTTCCTATAACTTTAGTTTGTCAGATGATGTTTTTGAAGTACATTTGAGAAGATTTGTCCCGGTTTTTTACATGGTTAAAGTAAAATCCCTGCAATGTCAGACTTTACAACCAGGAAGTCAAAACCATAATTCCCAATCTGGGGGTAGCACTTGTAAAATAACTGTAAAACTTTATATACGATAATATCCCTGCTTTGGGAGGAGTCTTAACCTGCTCAGATGTAGGGTGTGGTGACTTGCTTACAAAATGTGCATAAAGGGCCAGTTATAGAACACACTTTTTAGTCTGCACTAAATGTCCGTGAAGATTCTAAAGTGGAAGAGTGATTTATGCCGAGAGCCGCCGGGCACTGGCTCCTTCTGACACTTTGACCAAAACATTACGATCAGTGGAGCTGATTCTGCGGTAAAGAAGTGGAAGAACCCAGAGAAGAAATACACAAAATATCAATTGATTATAACGAGTGGTGCTGATGCGTTTTCAAGATTAAATAACCACACTTTTTCCAGTATCAAAGCTGAAAGATGTGATATTTGTAAGGACAGAAGCGGTGGTTGTCGGTCTGCTTAACCCTTTAATGTTCTTGGTTTAGTGACTCAAAGTGATCCTTTATTGTAGCGGCTGAAAAAAGCCTGAAAATAACGTCTTAGTCTCAGTTGGTTTTAGACACTGCTTATTGTATTCTCCAAGTTTCCAAAATCCAGTTGTTGTCGAGCGAACTTCTTCAAATGTGTCGATAGTGTGTGTGTGTGTGTGTGTGTGTGATGTGATGGAGTGTGTGTGTGATGGAGAGTGTGTGTGTGTGTGTGTGTGATGGAGAGAGAGGGTGTGTGTGTGTGATGAAGAGTGTGTGTGTGATGGAGAGTGTGTGTGTGTGTGTGTGTGATGGAGAGTGTGTGTGTGTGATGGAGAGTGTGTGTGTGTGTGTGTGATGGAGAGTGTGTGTGTGTGTGTGATGGAGAGAGAGGGTGTGTGTGTGTGTGATGGAGAGGGTGTGTGTGTGTGTGATGGAGAGTGTGTGTGTGATGGAGAGTGTGTGTGTGTGTGTGTGTGTGATGGAGAGTGTGTGTGTGTGTGTGATGGAGAGTGTGTGTGTGATGAAGAGTGTGTGTGTGATGGAGAGAGTGTGTGTGTGTGTGTGATGGAGAGTGTGTGTGTGATGGAGAGTGTGTGTGATGGAGAGTGTGTGTGTGTGTGTGTGTGTGTGTGTGATGGAGAGTGTGTGTGTGATGGAGAGAGAGGGTGTGTGTGACTCTGTGTGTGTGTGTGTGTGTGATGGAGAGAGAGAGTGTGTGTGATGGAGAGTGTGTGTGTGTGATGGAGAGTGTGTGTGTGTGATGGAGAGAGAGGTGTGTGTGACTCTGTGTGTGTGTGTGTGTGATGGAGAGTGTGTGTGTGTGTGATGGAGAGAGAGGGTGTGTGTGACTCTGTGTGTGTGTGTGTGATGGAGAGAGAGTGTGTGTGTGTGTGTGATGGAGAGAGAGTGTGTGTGTTCGACTGTGTGTGTGTGTGTGTGTGTGCGTGTGATGGAGAGAGAGTGTGTGTGTTCGACTGTGTGTGTGTGTGTGTGTGTGAGTTCAGAATAAGAATAGGCTGGATAGTTATTTTATTTTACCTTGTGGTAAATTAAATCATAACTTCTGTCTGACATTAGATGGATACATTAATACATTTTTATTATTATGATATATTTATTTAAATGAGCTGCTACAACCTGGTACAATGCATACCAAACCAAACCAAACCATACCAAACCATACTTAAGCTTAAAATGTTATTGAATTGAAGGCATCCCAGTTGTATCTTGTGAATGATCGAAAATTGCCAATTCTCCAATTTGGTGAATATCCGACTGTCTTTGCTTCTGAAAGACAAAAACAGTAAGAAAATCGTTATGTCTCGATCCAAAATGGCTCAAAAAGGCAAAACCACATCAGTCAGAAAACCCTTCTCCCTGCGTCACCACATCTCTGCAACGACTCCCGTGCCACGCCCACGCTAGCGCCACATGCTACGCTAACATACGGCGCTAGCATACGGCCGGCGGGGGACCCAGGTGAGCTCGGCCTCTCAATAATGAATGAGTTTGGGATTGGTCAGCTGCTCCACACACGCTCGGCTCTGGCTTCGCCGCCACAGCCGCATATCCAATTACACGTTTTGATGAAGACGGTTGGAAGAACGCGGCGTTGGGTGCCACGGCTATGATTGTCCCGAGTTTTATTTGCCTGATTAGCATTTAGTTAACGGCACAGGCCTGTAATAAGTCTGTGGAAGCGTGTTGTAAAGTCGGCCTGTTCCACTGAGGTCGAAAATTAATTTATAATTGACTTGTTCATTTGCATATTGATAAAGTGGAGATTGAAAACTGAATCTATTGGACTTGTGGGGGATGGTGTTGTGACAGTGGGGGTTTCTCTTCTGTTTTTATAACCCTCAGACTCTCTCACTACTGTCTCCTTTACCTTCAGACTCTCTCACTACTGTCTCCTTTACCTTCAGACTCTCTCACTACTGTCTCCTTTACCTTCAGACTCTCTCACTACTGTCTCCTTTACCTTCAGACTCTCTCACTACTGTCTCCTTTACCCTCAGACTCTCTCACTACTGTCTCCTTTACCTTCAGACTCTCTCACTACTGTCTCCTTTACCTTCAGACTCTCTCACTACTGTCTCCTTTACCTTCAGACTCTCTCACTACTGTCTCCTTTACCCTCAGACTCTCTCACTACTGTCTCCTTTACCTTCAGACTCTCTCACTACTGTCTCCTTTACCTTCAGACTCTCTCACTACTGTCTCCTTTACCCTCAGACTCTCTCACTACTGTCTCCTTTACCTTCAGACTCTCTCACTACTGTCTCCTTTACCTTCAGACTCTCTCACTACTGTCTCCTTTACCTTCAGACTCTCTCACTGCTGTCTCCTTTACCCTCAGACTCTCTCACTACTGTCTCCTTTACTCTCAGACTCTCTCACTACTGTCTCCTTTACCCTCAGACTCTCTCACTACTGTCTCCTTTACCCTCAGACTCTCTCACTACTGTCTCCTTTACCCTCAGACTCTCTCACTACTGTCTCCTTTACCCTCAGACTCTCTCACTACAGGCTGATTGGGGTCCTTGGTCCAGGTCCAGGTCCAGGTCCAGGTCCGGAGGGGGTGAGGTCAGAGTGACATTATGTCCTCATGGGGTTTGGTTCTATTCTTAGCAGCGTTCAGACTCAGACAGAGAGCTGAGAAGTTTCAGATTACAAACCAGCGACTGCAGGACCCGCGTACAGCCACCATCGACCTGGACCATGGATCTATAATAACAACTGGATATTACAGCAGTCCCACCTATGGCCATAGGGGGCGCCCATGGTACTGCAGACTAAAATCACGTGGGTTACAAGAAAAAAGTGCCCTAGAACTAAATGTAAACTAAAACAGCTCGACCTCAGCTGACGGAGAACCTGACAGAGAACCTGACAGAGACCCTGACAGAGAACCTGACAGAGAACCTGACAGAGGACCTGACAGAGAACCTGACAGAGAACCTGACAGAGAACCTACAGATTTCATAAAGGTTGGATTCTACTCTATTTTAGTGTCTCTTCTCGTCCTGAACTTTTCTTCTTCTTAAATCCTTCAGTTTTCTTTAAATCTACTTTTACAAACTCTGCTTGATTCCTTCCCGCTCTGGCTCCGCTCAGATCAGCTCTGATTGGTCAGAACGCTGCCCTCTGATTGGTCAAGGCGTGGCCGAGCCCCTCTGTGCACGTGCATGAGAGCAACACACACATATATGGCACAATGCATCATGGGAGCTCGTCCACTGCACAGAACTGGGGGGAACATACGATGCCCAAATATGGACGAGTTCCGCTAATCTCTCGGTCCCCGTTTGTGTCCCATGTGCCACTGCTGTGAATAGGACGCCATCTTGGATCAGCGGGGTTTGAGCAGATGACGATGTGGACTCGACCCAACGCGAACCCACCCAATATTTAAGATTGTTTTGATTGTGGCTCGTCTCTGGTGTGTGCTGTCTTCTCTGTCTGGTGCACACTGGGGGAGTCTTGCACAGTTTTTCCAATGTGGTTTTACTGCAAAAGGCAAATACATTCTTGTTTCTTGTATTTATTATGAAATTTGTCTTGGACTCAAAAGCGGCTGCGTCGGAGAGTTCACCTCAGAACCAGAACCAGAATGAATATTTTTTTCTAATTATTCGGTGCAAAAATCGACTCTATAAAAATCCACTTCAAACACATTGACTCTGCTTTGTTGATCCCTTTTGACAAACGAGACTCATTCTCGTTTGTAATTCCTGATTTAATTCCCGTTCCACTCCGTCCACTACAAACGTTAATTGTTTTGAGCATGTTCCGACCCTCGCTGTTAGATCTATAAATACTGTTGTGAGCGTGGCGGCCTGACAGAGCGCCAAGCAGGCCACAGACGCTCAGCTGTTGGACCGCACTCGAAGCCAACACTGAAAATAAATAATAATAAAATCCTCTTCACTTGGACAGAAACACATTTCTCTGAGAAACGGGATCAATACAAAAGATTAAAGTGTGAACTGCAGAAAAACGCTCAGAAAATATGGACAGTTTAAAGCCTGACGGGGAAAAGGATTTAAAGCTGGGGTATGTAACTTTGCAATAATAACACTGATAATAAGTATTTTTAGTGAGTTGATCTGATTGTTTTTATTTTTACTTGATTTTTAATTTGGATAACAGATCATTTATTGTTTTTATGACATTTTTATTGTTTTTACTGCGTACATAATGTTTTAATTTTTCTATTAATATATATTTTGTAAACATAAGAAGCTGGCAAACCTGTTTCTTTTGTCTCACCTGCTGTTCCCACTGGTCTCCCATCACAGTACTAACCAAGCCCTGCCCTGAGAACCTGACAGAGAACCTGTCAGGTTCTCTGTCAGGTTCTCTGTCAGGTTCTCTGTCAGGTTCTCTGTCAGGTTCTCTGTCAGGTTCTCTGTCAGGTTCTCTGTCAGGTTCTCTGTCTGGTTCTCTGTCAGGTTCTCTGTCAGGTTCTCTGTCTGGTTCTCTGTCAGGTTCTCTGTCAGGTTCTCTGTCAGGTTCTCTGTCTGGTTCTCTGTCAGGTTCTCTGTCAGGTTCTCTGTCAGGTTCTCTGTCAGGTTCTCTGTCTGGTTCTCTGTCAGGTTCTCTGTCAGGTTCTCTGTCTGGTTCTCTGTCAGGTTCTCTGTCAGGTTCTCTGTCTGGTTCTCTGTCAGGTTCTCTGTCAGGTTCTCTGTCTGGTTCTCTGTCAGGTTCTCTGTCAGGTTCTCTGTCTGGTTCTCTGTCAGGTTCTCTGTCAGGTTCTCTGTCAGGTTCTCTGTCAGGTTCTCTGTCTGGTTCTCTGTCAGGTTCTCTGTCTGGTTCTCTGTCAGGTTCTCTGTCAGGTTCTCTGTCAGGTTCTCTGTCAGGTTCTCTGTCTGGTTCTCTGTCAGCTGAGGTCGAGCTGTTTTAATATGCATTGAGTCCTATGGGCAAAATGTCTGGGTAGCCCACGTGAATTTAGTCTGGTTCAGTCTGGTTCAGTCTGGTTCAGTCTGCAGTACCGCGAGAATCCTCCGAGCACATGAGTTATTCAGCTACAAGCTAGTAATACCCTCTCCAGTTATTATAATAGATCCATGACCTGGAGTTGATTTTATCCATAATAATAATAATAATAATAATAATAATAATAATAATAATGTATTGGTTTTTTTACAGCACTAAACAGCATAAATCTGTGGAGACTGTAAATTACGTATTTTTTGTGTTACGCCTGAAGGCAGCGTTATGAGGAGATCCCGGAGTGACCTTGGCGTGTTTACTTCAGGGGCCGGGGCCATAACTCAGGGACCCCAGGCTCGGGTCATACATTCACATGTTTTATTAACGGTGTCTCCGAAACCATCGCGCTCGGAACGATTGCTTTTACTGCTGACAGAGAGGAAAAATCAGCAAGAAAAAAGTGTGAATTATTTGTGTTTATTGGACGTGATCTTGAGAATATTAACATAAAATACTGCATGAGTGAATGTATTTATTTATATTTTTAAATGTTATTTCTTTTACACAAACCGAGAGTGAACAACAGGTAACACACCAAAAAAATCTGTAATCTGTAAAATTCTCATCCTCTTAATATTCCAAAATGTCGCATTATCCAAAAATAAAACAAAAATAGGCCACTCTGTGTTGTCCACAGATAAGCCGCACCTGAATACAAGCCGCAGGTTTTCATGTTGAAATGAAGCAGAGAGATGACTTTTTAACTGGACACAACATGATTTAATGACGGGGTGTTTGTTAGCTTAGCCGTTGTTTGTTAGCTTAGCCGTTGTTTATTAGCTTAGCCGTTAGCTTCACTCATTTACCTTCATCTGATTTAACAATAAACGCTCCTACACTGCAAAAAATTATTTAAAACTAGATTCTCCAATCTCAGTAGCACGGTGGCTGAGTGGATAGCACCCCCGCTTCTCAGCAAGAAAATCCTGGGTTCGAATCCCGGTCAGACCAGGGCTTTTCTGAGTGGAGTTTGCATCTTCTCCCCGTGTCTGCGTAAGTTTCCTCCGGGTGCTCCGGTTTCCCCTACCACTAAAAACATGTACAATAGTTCTGGCATGTGCCTCCTGTACTGGCACCTCCCATCCAGGGACGTGCGGTGAGGTTTGTGATTGGGGAGGCACTGACTTTAAAAGTCAGATTTACAATCATTATTCAAATAAAATAGCATTTAATCACCAATGCAATGACATCCACAAACTTTATATACTGTAAAGATAAGAGAACCAGCTTCTTTTAATAATCTCACAACAAATCTAGCTGCTGACTCTGCTCCGCATCAAACAACATCTTTAAGAAGCGCAGGTGCGAGAGACGCGAGGAGAGAGAGACGCGAGGAGAGAGGAGCAGAGAGAGACAGAGAGGAGCAGAGAGACGGAGACGCGAGGAGCAGAGAGAGACGGAGACGCGAGGAGAGAGAGACGCGAGGAGAGAGGAGCAGAGAGAGACAGAGAGGAGCAGAGAGACGGAGACGCGAGGAGCAGAGAGAGACGGAGACGCGAGGAGAGAGAGACGCGAGGAGAGAGGAGCAGAGAGAGACAGAGAGGAGCAGAGAGACGGAGACGCGAGGAGCAGAGAGAGACAGAGAGGAGCAGAGAGACGGAGACGCGAGGAGCAGAGAGAGACGGAGACGCGAGGAGAGAGGAGCAGAGAGAGACAGAGAGGAGCAGAGAGAGACGGAGAGGAGCAGAGAGACAGAGACGCGAGGAGAGAGAGACGGAGACGCGAGGAGAGAGAGACGCGAGGAGAGAGAGACGCGAGGAGAGAGAGACGCGAGGAACATAATCAATAATTTAAACAAGTTGCAGAACTCTTGAGCAGTGTTTGAATCAGTGTTTTTCGGAAAAGCACTACTTTGCCGGTATCTGTCAATGTTCAACATAAAACACAGATTAACAAACTCCTCCCCCGCAGCCGGACTAACCTCGTAAGTCCAGTGGTGGTCTCCCAGTCTATATTAATTCTTTCTTTGTTTGAAAGTCCAATTGAGAAAAAAAATCTTCATTCAAATCATCCATTTTCCAGCAAAAGAAATAGCATTTTGGGCTGATTGTTTGTTAGCAACTCTGGTATGAACTTTATGCTCACTATCACCCCTAGCGGTGAGGCACAGATACCGCCTGCCTCACGCCAAGCTTTTTCCTTGTGTGTTCATCTACGATCAAAAGACTTAAACTAAATATAAATTGTACACACATACGTGCAATACACTACTAAACACTAAGAGGAGTTTAAAAAATGTTTTTAAAGCAGGATATTTGAAACAAACGGTGATATATCAACTGCACGAGCTGAGTGCACTCAGACACACACACACACACTGTGAGGGAGCGGTCTGAGGTGAGGCACGCAGGAGCGCTGCCTCACCTCGTCTCTTTGAATAGGAATAACGGGATTTCGGCGATTTTGACTTCAGAAATGATCAAAACTGATGGGAACCGTGCCGAATATACATTAAAAGCATAGGACAGTGGATATAAATTATATATTTAAACTAAAATAATTATTAGTTTCCAATAATGGCAGGTGAGGCTCTGCCTCCCCTGCCTCCCCTGACTGCACGTCCTGAGGCTAGAGATTATAGATTCTAAATTGGATTTGATTGATACTGTACTATTGAGATCGGACACAGTTCCTCTTCTACACGTTTCTTGTACTGGTCTCTGATTGATGGATACCTAGTTTGGGTGAAGTTTTGGTTTTCTTGAATGTGATCTTGATACTGAACTAACAATAATATTCTGTGTGCTTCACACTGCTGGTTCTGCTTCTGGTCTCTCTCATTCTTCTTGCTCTCTCTCGGTCATTTGGTCTCTCTCTGGTCTCATTTCATGGTTGTGTGTATTAACTGCACGTTACATCTGTCTCTTTCAGAACAAACACATTGATTCGTTGACTCACGTTGGAGAAGTTCCTCTCGGACCTCTGCTGTCGCCCCCTGATGGGGCAGGTGTGACTGTTCTGAGGTCCTTCTGTTGCCCCTGGTGGTGCAGTGTAGACTGGCTGTGGTCGTTCTGCCGCCTTCTGGTGGTGCAGATGCAGCCTGTGCTGAGGTTCTTCTGTCGCCTCTCTGGGTGGTGCAGGTGCAGACTGTGCGGTGGTCCTCAGTCCTCGGTCTTGACTCGGTTTCTGGTGAAACTATGACCTGGTGTCGTCGATTCTACCTCCTGAGCTCTCACACTTCTGCAGTGCCTCCAGTAGTATATACAGAGCTCCTTATGGATTTTTATTAATTTGTTCAATTTTGTATGTCTATTTATTTAATGTCCCAGTTAAAAGAAGCTATACCAGATTTAATTTTCTAATGAGTTATTAAAATCGTATTACTACATACAAGTTGATTAAAATCTGTAATTTAATTGAAATCGTGAGCTCACTGATTCATCTTGTGTATGAATTCAGGCGCTTATAAAGAAAAAAAAAAAATAAAAAATGCTGGAGTAGAGACTTAGCGTGACGCCGCTCTCCTCCACTCACAGACGGTGACGTGCAGCGATGTTACAAGAGCTGCGCTCTCTTGCCTCTTCAGCGCTGCTAAACACAGTTGCTTGTTAGCATAATTTGGATATAACTCCTCTTGCTGTAACTACAAACACAGCAAAACAGCGCTAACGACACAACAGTGAAGGAAGAGAAGAGGGAACTAAAGCGAAAAAAATGATCAAGATAAAATCAAGTCGGGTGAAATAGCTAGCTTACATCGTATCCTCGGAAGAGACTTGTCTATGGGAGAGACCTGCAGGTGAGTGATCGCCTCGGACTACATTTGGACGCAAAACTAGCGGTATCTTTCAGCATGATATTGGTTAGCAGTGCGTTTGCTTTTGTACCATTTCATCAGTGATTGTTGTACAGCTTACAAGAATTTGCGCTTATGTTTATTGATGCGTTATGAATCTGATGCAAAATAAATATAGTGGCTCAGTGGAAGGAGAGCGTAGGGAAATGAGAAGCCTGTGAGGAGTTGAGGGGCGGTGCTAATATAAAACTGAAAAAAAACCTTGCAGAAACGGGATAGCTCCTTTAAATAAAAGATTAAATACATAATTTTAACAGACTTTTGACTGTTTTTAAATGTAAAGTTGTTGTACCTAATTTCAAACCACTGATGATAACGTTGTAATTAAAATTCCATCAAACTATTAGTTCTATTGCTCAAAAACATTTGGTACTTACACTAGTTTTCACATCCATTTATTGATCAGTGATGGGTATAGCTGCTTGATTTGTGCAGTGAGCTAATTTTATTGTATTTTATGTATTGTAACGTGTAGCACGTTACAATACAATAAAATCAATACTTTTATTTTTGTATAGCCCCACTAAATCACAACCAGCAGTCATCTTAGAGGGCTTAACAAAAGCATTGAAATCACCAACACAGATCAGAGAATCATCAGTTAAGACACAAAAAAAGAATATAGAACCACTGTTGATAAATGTCATAATTTGTAGAATTTTAAAGTGTGCTAGCTGGATCATCACCACAGGCCTTTTTGTGGTGACACTACTCTACAATAACTACTTCCTACACAGAAGCTATTACCACCTTAAAAATGTAGCAGCTAAGTTACACAATCTTGTCAAAAGTAGCTTGATTTGTAGTAGCTACTAAAGCTATTTTAACGACTGCAAATCATGCAATTTTATTGATCAATACAACTCTCTGTCAGAAAAAGGCTGAAGTTATGTTTTAATATGTATGTTTAATGGTGTTTTTGTAATTATTATTTAAAAGTGGTGTTTGCCGGCTTCTGCTCCTGGTGCAGACGGCTCCTTGGAGTGACTCTTTTTCAGCTGGGTGCATCTGAAACCCTGCCCTAGTCTTTTTCATGCGTTGTTTCCTGTTGTGTGTGTGCGAGAGAGCGTATTCTTCTCGATACTGTCTCTCTCTCCTATAACCTTTCAAACAAGGTCTTATTTCCGAGACATTTAAGAAGCTTGGTCTGGCTTCTGAGGTGAAGGCCGTGGAGAGGGATATGTAGTCTTACATACAGACTGGAAAAGTATTGGGAAGTCCCACTGCTTGCCTGCTTTAACCTTTATATATCTTATATAAATTATATGTATAAACAATGTCTCTTGAGTCCTTCAGAAAGGGTGGGTCCATATGGCACGGCCCTGTCATAGGTCCCACCATTTAGCCAAATGTGTGTGTGAACCAGGGTGTATGAGCCAACAGGAAGTGTAGGCATGACCCATTCATTGCCGACACTTCCTGTTGGCTCATTAACACGTGGTTTCACACACAGTTTGGGCCTAAATGGTGGGGTACTATGAC